AAAAAAAAAAAAAGATTTTATTTATTTGAGAGAGAGTGAGAGCAAGAGAGCGTGTGAGGACACATGCATCTGAGGGGGAGGGAGGCAGAGGGAGAAGGAGAGAATCTCAAGCAGACTGCTCCCTGAGCACAGGGCCTGGCTCGGGGCTCGATCTCACAACCCTGAAATCATAACCTGACTCAAAATCAAGAGTTGGATACTTAACCAACTGAGCCACCCAGGTGCTCCCACCATCACAAATTCTTTAAACAAATTAGTTGTAATCCTCCCCCCTTCAGTTGAACTACTGAAAATGGCCAAGTATCTAATCTTGCAAAAATTCACAAACACAGAACATTTATTTCTGCACTATGTATACATATACAGGTCAGATTACTGATCTTATAAAGAAAAACCTTCTATCTGCTGAATATACAATCAGGAACATCACCCAAAAATATGGGGGTAGAAAAGAGTTAAGAAAATCAGGAAATCAGAATTAAAGAGGGAATGTCAGAAGACCAAGAATTAGCTCAGATTCTCAGGAAGATTAGATACCTTCTCTTTCCATTCTCTGAACAAGAAACTCAAAAAGATCCAAATTACTTATGAGAAAAAGAAAACTACCCAAATTTTGGACACAAATTAAAATGGGAAGTCAGAATAATGAACTGATTCAGTTAAGCACAAACAACAGCATCTTTTGGCTGTGAGCAATACTTATTCCGAACCACAAGAAGCTTCTCTCACCTCTGGAGCACCGATGATACTGCTGCTAAGGCCACAAGCCCACCGGGAATCTCTAATGTGACTGAAATCATCTCTGAGTGACTCAAAAACCAGACTAGAAAAAGGATGAGCAAAATAGAAAAGGTTCTTATTAGGGCTTTCCAACATCAACTTGACAGGAATCAAATGTCAAATGTCAAATTTTTGACAAGAGTGGTCAAAAAATAAGTACTTGTGACTACCGTGAAGAAACTGCGAATTTCATAAAACCAGAAACATGACAGCAGGTAGGCAATAGGAATTGGGCTGAAGAAGGCTCAGTATTTTCAAACCTAAAAATTAACTCATACTATTTAAAATGAGAGGACTGTGAGAAAAAAGAATGTATGGAAAATTTCATTAAGAGTACGTTTACACTAGCATTTACCCACTTCTTAGAGCCGTAGCAAGTCCAAGATCATTTCTTGTCTCTTCTTTTCCTGTCTATTTACTGATCCATTAATTTTATTACTTTTTAGAACTGATCATTCTAACTACCATCAGCAGTTACACCTTTTCCAAATAGAAAGTAAAGAACAAGCATTCTGCCATGAAAAGGCAAGGTGGTGGCACTGTTCTAGATTTAAAGAGACGTAACCACCAAGCACAATACATGGTCCTTGAAGTCCTTGATTGGATCCCAATTCCTTAAAAACATGAAAGAGGGTTATAAAAGATACATCTGGGGAGAACTGAGGAAATTTAAACATAGGCTAGATATCTTTTACTAATAATAAGTTTTTGTAAATTATCTTCCTATCTTAGTATGTGATTATTTAAGAGAATGCCTATTTTTAGGAGAAGCACGCTGAAATATTTAAGGATGAAGGGTTGTGATGCCTACAATTTTCAAATGATTAAAAAGATGTTTATACAGAGAAAACAAATTATGACAAAAATGTTTACCACTGTTGAATCTAGGTGGCAAGTATAAGGGTAAACACTACAATTCTTCATAATTTTCTGTAGGTTTGAAAAGTTTATAATAAAAAGGCAAATGGAAAAAAGAGAGAGAGAGAGAGGGTATCCTTTTTTCCTGCCCCTGGAAGTCAGGAAAATTCAGTGAGAATTACTGCAACCATCTTGGGAACAGAGAGACCTACCAGGAACCTCAGGGGACCTAATGAGGATATGCCTGATATGCTAAGGATGATCAATCAGAAAGAGGGAAAAATTGTTGTGTCCTTGATGATATAAACTACTAAACTAAATCTGGCAACCCCAGAGCCATCTTACACTGGGCATTCTTGTCATCTGAGATAATAAAATTGGCTTATTGTTCGTTTCTTAAAAAAAAAAAAAAAGGAAAAAGCAGATTCTAAGTACAGAGCAAATTCAACACTGGCATTGAAGAAGTTTAGTTTCCAAGTGCCTTTGGCTAATAAGTCATGATCAAATTATTTTTCCTTTTTTTAAAAAAAACTGAGGTGAGATTCACATAACATACAATTAACTAAAGTATCTAATTCAGTGGCATTTAGTATTTTCACAATGTTGTGCAACCACCACCTCTCTCAAGCTCCAAAACTTTTTCATCACCTCATACCCATTAAGAATACCCCATACCCATTAAGTAATCATTACTCATTCCTCCTTCTCCCTATTCTCCACCCCCCCAATTCCCTGGCAACTACTAATCTTCTGTCTCTTCGATTCTGCCTATTATGGGTAACTTATATAAAGGGAATCATACAATACATGACCTTCTGTGTCTGGCTTCTTTCACTTAGCATAGTATTTTCCAGATTCATCCCAAATTGTAGCATGTTAATCAGTATTTCATTCCTTTTTATGGCTGAATAATATCCCATGCTATGTACACACCACATTTTGTTTAGCCATTATCTGCTGACAGGCATTTGGGCTGTTTCTACTTTTTGATTATTATGAGTAATGCTGCCACAAGCATTTGTATACAACTGTTTAAGTATATGGCTTCATTTCTTTAGATATATACCTTTGAGTAAACCTGCTAGGTCATATGGTAATTCTGTGCTTAACTTTTTGAAGAATCACCTGTTTTCTATAGTAGCAGAACCATTTTACATCTCCACCAAAAATGTACAAGTGTTCCTATTTCTCCACATCCTTACCAACACTTTTTTTTTCCAATGATAACTATCCTACTAGGCGTGAAGTGATATCTGATGGTTTTGATTTGCATTGCCTTAATGACCAATGACCTTAAACATTTTTTCATGTACTTGTTGGCCATTTGTATATCCTCCTCAGAGAAATGTCTACTCAAATCCTTTGTTCATTTTTTGACTACGCTGTTTATCTTCCTGTTGTTGACCTGTAAGAGTTCTTTATATATTCTGGACAGTTGACCCTTGTAATATAGATGATTTACAAATAGGCTGGTCTTTCTTTTTCTTAATAACGTCCTTTGAGGAGCACCTGGGTGGCTCAGTCGGTTAAGTGTCCAACTCTTGATTTAGGCTCAGATCATGATCTCAGGGTCGTAAGATCAAGCCCCGAGTCTGGCTCCACACCTCCACACTCAGCACGGAGTCAGCTTGTCCCTCTCCCTCTGCTCTTCCCTCCCCCACCCCCCCCGCCCCGACTTGTGTGCACTCTCTCAAATAAAATGTCTAAAAATAATAATAATGTCCTTTGATACACAAAAGCTTTAATTTTTATGAAATCCAATTTATCTAGTTTTTCTTTCACTACTCATGCTTTTGATGTCAAATATTAGAAACGATCACCAAATCCAAGGTCATGCGGATTTATCCCTTTGTTTCTTCTATTAGCTTGACTGTTTTAGCTTTTATATAGACCAATGATCCATTTTAGTTAATTTTTTTTTTTATAAGGAGTTAGGTAGTTGTCTAACTTCATTCTTTTGCCTGTGGTTATCCAGTTGTCCCAGCACCACATGCTGAAGAAGATCAAACATTTTTAAGAGAAAACAAAGCTGGACAAACTCTTGGGTATGGGTGGGATCCTGCCCTATTTAAGACCCTAGCTCTTGGTGACACTTACATGGCAACTGCAATCAATGGTGAAGCTGAGATTTGGGAAATCAAGAGGGAGAACAAGCTGAGACATGCAGAGCACCTCACCTTAACTCAAGTATGGTAATCCTTAGGCTCAAGATCACCCTAAATGATATTTCCTATTCCCACCAGTTTCTAGGACTAAAGAAAGCAACATTTATCTAACGATCAAACTACATTATAAGCACAAAGTTTTGCCCTCTCTATCAGTAAGTATGCAGTATTTACTCATTTATTTTATTTAAGTTTTAACTCATTCATGACTGTAGGTACTGGAAACATAAAGATAAATAAGACAAAGTCTCTGCTACAAAGAAATGCAAAGTCTATCAAGAAATATTTGGGAACAATTAATCACAACTCAATGTGGTAAGTGTCAGAGGAGAAACATAACCAAGGACTGTGAAAGTACAGAGGAGGAAATACCTAATTCAAACTTAGACTTCGAGGGAAAGCTTCATCGACCAGGTAATATCAAACTGATGGCCTCATTAACCACCTAGAGGAGGAGTGAAGGAGCAGTTAGAGGGAGAGAATGTGCAAAGGCACACAGAGGAAGAAGAGCTGTATGCCTCTTTTCTCTGGGAACCACCTTCCTTGTCCCCAGGAAAGCAGATATAAAATAAGACAAGAACATAACATGTTAGTAAATGACTCTGCTCCAAACCACAAAGGATTAGTCCAGGAATGAACACCTGACCCAAAGCTGAATCAATCTCAACCTTTCCCTGAGAATTTTGGGCCTGGAGCTGAAAGCGAGACCAATCTCTCCCTGAGTACCTGGAGCTTTTAGTGCCATATTCTGCCCACTGGAAAAGGCACAGAAAAGTGCTCTTCAGAGAAAAAAGACCACAAACTCACAAACAGCCAGAAAGAGAGAGGCCTGACAACGTTCAAATCCCTGATTCTGGTTGTTTCTGAAACCCAAATGAATTTCTAACTTAGGTTCTAAGATATCCTCCCAGGATCTCCTTACTAATTCTCATTTTTACTTGGGCTAGTTTGACAGGGTTCTGTTCACCTCCAATAAAGTCCTGATAAAAGACTGAGAAGTACTGCAAAAGTGACAAACCCAAAATGTGTAACAAAGTTCAAGTGAAATGAGGCCTCCCCCCATCTCAGGCTGGGAAGCCCAGCAGTGCTTGTGTATAGCAAACCAGTTGGTTACACTCCACATGCACTCCAAAGCTACATGGAGCCTTACGAGCTTTGGACAAGAAAAAGAAATTGCTCACAGAAGACTGCTAACTTCAGTAAGGTTTTGCAAAACAATCCAATCTGCAAAACACAATCCAGCCCAATCCAGCCTCCTAGAGAGGAGATGTGACACATAAGAATATAATGACTAAGCAAAGCCCTTTCTGCCTATACAGCCAAAGATCCAAAACCTCTAATGGTCAGATAATTACTTTGCTGAATTTCAGCAACTGAATTCTTTGTGCCACTAGGAAACTGTGAGACCCTGAATGACTACAATGTAGACAGCCCCTTTCAAAACACTTCTCACAGGGTTCCCCCAAACTGCCATCCCCTCCCCTCATTAAAGTATTGTCTGACAGAAATGCAGCTGGGGAGGGGGGCAATATCCAGGGGTGACATTCCATAGAAGATTTGAGAAAGCTCTAAATCCAGAATTTTCCACTCATGCCCTTGAGGTAGGAAGATAAGCAAAACCAAGGAGAATTAAACCTGATCCCAGCTATTCTCTTCAGCAATCTTAGAGACTAAAAAGCCTAAATATTACTGGAGTTGGTTATCAATGGGAATGAACCAGTATGAAATGGATGATGAGAAGTGAACTGCAGTTTTAAAGGAGTTCTATCAGCAGGAGGCTGTAATTATACTCCTAGTCAAACCCTAGGTCCAAAAAGTAGCATCTTCCTGGGAGGAGAAAGCTACAGCAGCATGGCCCTCATAAAAGGAACTATCTCCCACCCTGCCCCTATAGCCCCTGTGCTGCTCTTAAGGATGGTCCTGAAGAGTATCAGACATAGGGAATCTTTTTGGGGCAAGCCAGGCTAAAGCCTTCAATCCTCTGCCAGTGAAATGAGTTAACGGGGGACCATGAGCTTTG